GGAGACGACTTCGTTTCAGTATGAAGGCAATGGAGGTAGAAAATATTATACATAAAGCTGGGTCTGGGTGTTTGTAGGGCAGCCTTTTTGCTCTTCCATTAAGAAGATTTCTTTTCTTTTTGTTTAAAATTTTTTTTCCTCCTTTTAATTCTACTGTATATGGTTGATGGCTAGTGTGAAGTTGTAAGAGTCAGTTCTCTCAGTAGACCTATATCCTAGCGAAGTGCCAGTCTTTACTAAGGTAGCAAAATAAATAAAAGCCTCTTAACTCTAAGTGTGCTGACAACTTTTTCAAAGTGACTCCATTTCCTCATCTTAGCAGTTAGGACGAAACTGTCTTTCTGATTCTAGTGGATGATCAGCATCATAGATCAGGCACCTCTGGGTCATGATTTTGTATTTTTAACTTAATTGATACAGTGGTAGGTGCTGAAATAACTCTGCCGATTTCCTTTATTTGCAGACCAACTAGGTCTTATTACAAAGTGTCCCAGCAAGATACTACATTTAGCCCAAATTCACAGTACCTGATACCATAATATGGTTGCCTGAGAACACTAGGCAGTTCCATACATGTTCAGAAAATCCCAATGTATTGTAAGAAGGTAGGAACCAGAAAAAGCTCTTCATGGTATGTTCATGGCTCAGGCCTTGGTACAAGCTACCCTACTTCAGCCTGCAACATTTTTTGTCAAAAACTTACCCATTCTTCTGACCTGCTTTGCCTCTTCGTGTTCTTACAAAATTATACCTAGCAGCCTGCCTTCTTGAAGTCTTATCCTTGACTCTTTTTTCCCTTCTCGTTACCCTTCCTCTCTCTTGCTGTCAACTTGTGCTTCCCCGTTGTTTAGACTCTTCTGTCCTAGAGTTGCTTTCTCCATGTCCCATGCCAAAGAATTGTCATCAGTTCTTTTCAGGATTTGTAACTCTGTCCTGTTATATCGTGATATAATAAGCAGCATTTAGAGTAGTTTGGGTAACTGTTCTGCAAAGTCCTGTATCGTCATCCCATTCCTACCACCATTTCCCCTCCTAACCGTCCTTCAGCAGCATGGTCCCTGCATCAGCTTTCAGGTGGAGTCTTTGTGCCAGATTTTCTGTCTTCCTCCTTGGAGGGGGAAAGCATCTTGGCACTTCAGAGTTGATTTGCCTGTTAGTCTCCTAGTTTGGTCTGCATGAGGTTGAGGTTCCTCGTGTTGAAACAAGGTGGTAGGTAGGAGTCGTTAGCAGGAGTTAAAAAGGAAAAACGTGACAAATCAATAAAGATGCATATTGACTGATTTCTTTGGGTGTGGATTTGTCTGCTGAAGTTAGCAGTAAAAACCCAGTTGTTCTAGCCTGTGTTAATCTATACTGGATGAAATGTTGGAACTCAGACAATGGAAAATGAGCCGCTGCTGGTTGGGAAGTATTAAAACGAACTAATTGTTCCTTTTTTACCTCAGTTTCATGCTTCTGTGGGTGAGGAGAAACTCTGTCATAATCTCTGTATAACAAAACACAAAGACTGAATTACTGTTAGGCACACATCTTAACAATATTGAAGTGCAAGTTCATCTTTGAAATGTAAATTGATTTTTAGATTAAAATGCCTTCATTATTGCATTTTTGTCAATAATATAATTTAGGCTTATTTCTGTTGTTATACGCTGACTGACCCTATATATTTTCGTTGATATTAGTTTTGTTCTTTACACTTTACCGCTTTCACAGAAGAAAATTAAACCTTTGAAAATGCAACATTTTTACTTTTTAGCTGTAGTTCTCTTTTAAATAATTTTACATTTTTATTGGACCTAAAATGTTTTCCATTAAACTCATGGCATGCTTTTAAAAGCTAGCATTAGAAGAGTCCGATTCTTCTTTCAAATTATTTTTCTCTAAGTGGACTTGTATTGGAGAATATCAAATACGTCGAAAATAATCACATTTGCTCATTGTTTTTGACAAGTTATTGAGTTGTGGTGTTAATAAAATTGAGAGAGTTGCTTGGCAGTGTCATGTCCACTCAAGGGAATTCTGTGAATTCATACATTTTCAGTTGTAAATGAATGTTTGTTCTGCACTTTACAATCTATCTCTTCCTCATAACACACAGTGGTTTTAGATCTTTTATTTTGGTCTGTCTATAAAATATTGAAAACTGAAATTGCATCAACTTAAGCTGTTAACTTGATGGTCTTGTGAATTCAGACACCATCGATTCTCCTTCAGTTTGTTTTTGTCCTTCTCTTGTTCTTCGCAGGTTACCTTAGGAAAAGTGTTAAAAGTGATAGTGGTGATGCGGAGCCTCTTCATTGACCGCACAATAGTAAAAGGGTACAATGAAAATGTCTATACTGAAGATGGCAAGGTAGGTTATTGTATATCCAGCAACATTAAATTTTATTTTTACCTGGTATTTAAATGACAGAGAGCAGGAATCCCATCACAAGTATACTAGAAACATAAAACTGTCAAAAGACACTGTGGTTGTTTTGCAGAATGCTGCGGTTTAAATTTATCATGCTTTGCTTGGATTTTTCATACCCAAATGTCTGACTTCTTTCTAAGCTCTGAAGCCCTTGCTTGAATTTCTAATTTATCACCTTAGACCCCAGTTGCCTCATCAATAGCGTCTACTGAGAAAACGTTTTTTCAGTATACCAGCACATCAATAGCCCAAGGTTCAGGTTTCTCTTTTCTGAGAGCCATTGGGAAATCTTGGGCTAGTTTTGTGCTCAACTTGATAAATGCAACTGTGAGAATCATTGGTAGGTAGTCCTCAATAATTTGCTTGTCAGTAATAGCACATCTTGAACAGGAGCTATTAAAGCAAGTGTTACCTGTTTCCACAAGTGATTTGCTTTATGAACAATTCACCCTGCTTGAACCCTCAAATTTCGTCTGACTGCACACACTCCATATGGCTCTCTTTAGCGCATCAGGAGATGTTAATGGGACCTGACGGCCTTCAGCTCAGCTTGTTTCTCTTTTCGGGGTGGAATGGTCTCTCTTACTGAGACATCCGCCAGGACTCTCCTTTGCCAGTGACAGTACTAAATACTTCCATGTTTCACATTTTCTCTCTGGAGCTTTCTCTTCTGATTATGAAGCCTATTAAAATAAAAAGTTCATTATATCAAGATAAGTACTTGGCACCCATAGGCCATGTTATAATGAGGCAAGACTTCTTTTCCTTTCAAAAGTGATAACTGTGTTTTAGCACACAGAAGCACATTGTGTACTGACCCAGAGTTCAGCGGCTCTGAGTCTGAACCTCTGTTCTCTAGAAAAGGCCAGGAGCTGATCAGCTGAAGGAAATAGTACAGCTGTATTTCCCAGGTGAGAGATTCTCACTCGGAGGGCGGGGGATTGGCCTAAGAAGGAGTCAAACAAAAATTGCCTGATTTTGATTTGCATTATTCAAATATGCAGGTTTAAATACCACTTTGCTGCAGAAGCAGCTGCACTATACTCCCTGTATATTAGCATATAAATACAGACTTATAGCACCAGCCCCTCTTCACCCCGAGTTCTGCTCAGGAGTGAAATGATAGTCTGCCTAAAGAGCACTGACAGTGCTTGATGGATTCCTGTGTCACACTTCATTTGGGTGTGCTCATTTTCTCTGATGAATCCAGTTTCCTTTGAAGCTCCCTTGAAATATAATAATGCTATATATGCTGAAAAGCTAAGTAAGAGAGTTCCTTTCCGAAACTCAGCATCTGGCGTTGGGCTTCTGTTTAGCTCAAGGTTAACTCTCTTGAGAGCCATATACCGTTTCTCTGTCATCGTTTGCTGCGAGGGGGAGAGCGGGACTCACCAAGGCCAGCTTTGGGCACGGGGCACTAACCTTTGTCTGCTGTCAGTGGGGAACAGTTCAGCTTCTCCAGAGCCTCTGTGCTAACACCTGGCTTATTTTCTTGCTTTAAGCCAGTCTGCAGGGGAGTCTGTTTTCTACCGATTTAGCTTTCTATGTCCACAGCTAGGCTATGTGACTGCTCCCGCAAGGCTGCATGAACCTGTGACCTTTACACGGCAGTTTGCTATTCCATTGGGCCATCCCAGCGCTTTCGCAAACCTGAAGGTATTAGGTATAAATAGGAACATTTTGTTTGACTTAAGTAGAATTGGAGTTGCAGCCACTTAAATCATGAGTAAATTTGGCTTGGAAGATTGAATAAGTGCATAGCTTGCTAGTTTTGCCAACTGGAGCACATATTGACAAACAGTGGGCTCCCTCTTTTTTACTAATTAACTACACTGGTAATTGGAGAATAAGAATAAGATTGTGCTCTTGCAATGATTCGCTTTACTTATTGTGCCTGCTGGGAATGAGCGATTACAGTCAATTGCAAACATAGTCCATTCCAATTCCTTCTCTGTCACAACAGATGCTGTTGGGAAAGTACTCCAGTGAGGTTTCACCATACTATTCTAGCTTCTCAGTTTCTAGCCTGGTAGGGGGAAAAAATGCACTAGCATTCAGAAGAGACAGAGTATGAAAAAGGAGATCAGCGAGTATCTTCTTTATTAAATAACAAAAATACAGAGAACCCTCAGGATCACAGTAGGAGGTGATCGTTTTTCCAGTGAGCAGTTTACTCAGTAACTGCTGGTATAGGGGTTTGCTTATGTATTCCTAGGAAGCATTTAATATTTGTAAACAGCAGCAATAAGATTAACTAGGTGGTATCATACAATATGGCAATTTTGAAGCTCCTGTCTTTTCTGTAAGCTATGTTGAAGAAGGGACACTGGATAAGTTGTGCTTCTTTAACTTAAATAGCTGAATGAAGGTCTGTTGAGTTATTGTCCTAACTGCACGAGTCAGAAGGTCCTTTAAGTAACAAAAGTGAAATTCAGTGGGGGGCTTTCTCCGAATAGAGCGGGGTTTGGGGCAGCAAAAATATATTCAACAGTATTCAACAAAAGAAGAAACGGCCATCATCAGGAGACTGAATGATCACCCAGACAATAAGTGAAAAATGGACTGTGCGTAGAAGAGGCCAATGATTTGCTTGTGGATCAGGGGAGTCATCGTTTTTCTCTGAAAGTACAACTCTTATAGCAAATTTTGCATTACTGGGAAGAAAAAGGGAAGAGGTGAGTGCAAACAGCAGAGGCATTGATAGTCTTCGGGTCCATTAGTCAGGCAAATCTAGAAATAAAACAAATATGGGTGATTCTCATAGTTGTGGAACTGTGCATGGTGGCATACTAGCAGTTACACAGGAAAGCTGACAGTGCATTATCCAGGTTGTTTTAGCTTACTGTGTGCTTGTACGTTGTACTGTGTAGGTTGACAGGTACTTAAGTGAAAGCTTCACGTGGTTTCTGCTGTACTGAAGTCTAGTGAAATTGGGTACTACCTCTTAGAGATTTAAATACTTTCAAAATTAAGGTGAAAAAATGGAAGTCTTAAGCTTGCAGTGAGTAAAATAAGACACTACATTCTGGGGTTTTATTTTCAAGCTTTGCTTATACACATGAAGAATCATTGCATTTCTTAAGTGCTTCACGTACTTCTCTCGTGAATTATTCAGAAACCCTGCAGAATATGTCTTTGCCAGGTTGCCATCTGCATAACTTAGACATTTTTGGTGACACTTTGCAAAAACAATAGGTGAGATCTGGCAGCCTGTGTCATGTTGTGGGTTCTGGATGCTGATCACTCTGCAGTCTCTCTTGCTCACCGTACTAACCCATTGCGTCCACCACATACTGATGCATTTTAATTACCTCCGTGGTTTTAGTGATGGCACCGGGCCACCCTTAATTTCAAACTCTGACATACTCACTGTGCGCTGGAATTTAACCATAGATAGTAATTAATTACTAGTGTTGTCCTGATTCCTGAATAAATGAAGCTATGCAGCTTACCCTTGCAGGGCAGGCTTATTTTCAGCTGAGCCATTAGTAGCCCTAGTCTGCCTATAAAAATAAAAACGTATTGGGATTTTTTGGCCTAGCTTTTCTTTGGATGCAGAAACCAAGAACCACCTTGACAGGGCGTATTTAGAGTGGTTACTTAACATCACTGCCTAGCAAATTCCTATTTTTGCATCTGTTAGACTTAACTAAAGAAACATAAGTGTCTCTGTTGAATTATCATGTTAAGGAACTTGGGTTATGTTAATGCTATGGCTTCATTAATTACCCCATATCAATAAGAAAAGGCAGCTTTTAGCCTCCTAGCATAAGAGAGGAAAGAAATAGTAGTATCAAAGGAAAGCTTCAAAGACAGGCAGAGCCGTCTCTCGGGTAATTTCTGATCCCTGCATTCTTCCCACTTCAAAGCTGGATGTGTGTGTGTTTGGGTGAAAGGGGGGTTGAATCCGATTTCTCTAATAAGTGTTGGCACTGGACCTGTTTGATATTAGATGCAGGGAACATTCTGATTTGTTATCGCCTTTGAAATCGTTCAGACGACCTTCAGAAAATGGCCTCTTGTTACTTATGCTGGGGGTGGGTGGGGAGAATGGGGCATTGGGGAAAAAAAGCCCCAGTTTAATTCACATGCAGAGGATGCCCTGAAGTTGTGCTTTCAGCAGTTTTTTAGTTATAAATGTGTGTCTTGATTGAAAGTGAAAAGTTGAAGAATAATAGACCTATAACGATGCATTCTTTAATCCGCCTCTGCCTTAATCCTCTGTTTCAGGGGGGAAAGGTGGGCAGTCATTTAGGATGTATGCATGTGGTTTGGGGGGTTTGGTAGCTTTTGCTTTTTTTTTTTTTTCCTTTTTTTTTTTTTTAACTTGGATAACATCATGTCTGTAAGACAGACACTCATTACTTTTTCAGCTTTTCAATTTTCATGCCAACTAATGAACATTCAGAACTTGTTGAATTCATCTTAATGCAGCATCTGAAGTGGACTTTTTTTTTTTGATCTTGAGTCTAACTAGAGAGGATCACATACTTGGTTTGATCACTAGAGATTAGCAAAACCATATATACATTCTAATGATAGCAACTCTGTCTGCAAAGAAAGCCTTAAATTACATGAAAACAGTTTTTTAAAAAATACGCATTAATTTTTTATTTTCAAATGTAGGCTTTTCTAATATGGAAATGCGATGCTTCCTTCCCAACAGGCACAGGTCTATTATTACACTGTAAATCAAGCTCAGGTCTAAGTCCAGGCTGAACTGCTGCTTGTGGAGTATGAGTGTTGTTGGTGCTCACCCAGGTTCTTGATTCCACACTAGGAGCCAGTAAATGTAAAAAGGTTTGTAGGTACATGCCTCAGGGTACTTCTGCCTTCGTCTAACCTGGAAAAGGCATCGAGACATCAGCTGCCTTTTGCCTCACGGCAAGGTCAGCAGTACTAAGCCATGAAACATCTATCCTGAAGTGATTTTAAAGTCTTTAACATCGCCTCCTGTCCAGACTGAGATTTGGGGACTTAAGAGTCACTTCTGTACCAGTATTTAGAAGTGGGCCACTTAACAATGTTGCTCTTAAAAGAATGGGAACTTTTAGTATTCTGAACATTTTTAGCAATGGGAATTAATTGCTTGGGCTCAGCATCCTTCCCCCTCTCCTCCTTCACCCCCCTCAAGTGTGTTTTACTCACTTCATATGACTTCCTTCATTTCAGACTCTAATTTTTGTACCTTTTAAAAGACTTGTAATTTCAGCTAGGACTTATGGGCACATAAGACATAATTAAAATAATCAGTTGTACCTTATAGTAAAGGAGATAAACCACCATTGTGGGAAAACATGTGTCCAACCATGTTATCAAGCACTAGAGGAGCTATACCTGCTTCATAAATTCACTTAAAAAAAATTATTTTCTTTTATCGAGACTAAGATTCCTGAGGTTAATGCTGTATCAGACACCTTTCCTGTGACAAGTTTTGTGCATATGGAATTGTTGAGTACAGTGCGATCTGTAGAAAAAAAGCGATTTGCAAGTCTGGGATTGATGGAAGTTCCTCTTGTTTTTCCCTGCTGCTTTTCCTTGACAGAATACAAGATGTTCCACAGGGCTGGGCTAAAAGAGCATTTGCATGTCAGTTGAAATTGTTTAACATGTGAGCCATTTGGTCGTTTAACAAGGACAGCCTTACCTTCTGGTTTCTGGGGCTAATAAAACTTATTTCAGTTTTGTTCTTTCAGTTTGTATATAGTTGAGCACACATTTAAGTCATGGATGTGTGCAGTTATCTACAACCTTAAATCTCTTTCAGTGTGATTTTTGTCTGCAAATGTAAATGCAGTTTCCTAAGGGATGTTTTATTTAGCCCCAGTAGACCAGTGCTTTGGCTTAATTCAGCTAAACGTTCTTTGTGTCGTTTGTAACTGAATCACTTATTCAGACACCAGACAAGCATAAACTTAGTAAAAATGCCCTCGTTTTAGAAACAGACTGAAGCTGATGAATATTTGCATAGATCGGCCACAACCCCATACAAATGAAGACGTTGCTGTTTTTAAAGAGAACGCGTTAATTCAACAGGTCTTGTACATATAATTTTTTTTATTGCAACTGTGATGAATTATATTCATTCTTCATTGCAATACAAAGGAAATCTTACATCATTAGCTCCCTTTCTTGGATTGCAAGAGGTAAAGGCAATGGGTCAGAACAGTGAACTGAGAAATATGTCTCCATAGATCTGTTTGCCTGCTCTTTTAATTTGAACAGCCGCTTAGCTTCTTTTTCTCCGTAATCACGTGTGGTAATATATAACTCTCTTTTTTCCTACTGTAGCTTGACATATGGTCTAAATCCAACTATCAAGTTTTTCAAAAGGTAAGTCTCGCATCATTTCTCGGTACATAATGCATATAGGAGATATGCGGAGTTTATTTTAAATATCTAGGCCGTTATGTAAAAGGATTCATAATTTATTCCTTTGTCATCACAACTTGCAGATAGTAAACAATAATCTCTAATAATGGAAAACTGTGAGTAGAAAGGAGATCACTTCTGCTGTTATTTAATTTGGATTTATTTCCCATCACAGTTCCAGTCCATGGTTTGGGATAGGAAATTGGAGATTATACTACTCTAGCCTTAAAATTTCATGAGGAGTCTTGAAGCACTCTTTTTTTAGTTTAAATCTTTTGGGGGAGGAAGGACTGTTTCAGGTTCGTTTGGATTTTGTTTTGTTGTTTTCATTGGTTTTAGTTGCCCCCCTCTCCTGAGGGCTTGATTTTAATAAATCAGTAGAACTCACTTTCCAAAATGAGTTTGGAAATTTCTTCCATGGTGTTATTTTGCCTGCTTCTCTTCCCATGATGGTGTAAGCAAAAGGTGTAACTTTGAATGCCATTCCAGAAAGTAAGAAAAGACCGATGAGACAATGGGAGCAATAAGTATAAAACTCCTAAGAAGGTTAAAGTGCGTTTTGGAAAGATCTATATCTCACTATTTTCCAGGCAGGGAAGAGAAGATTTCTCTTTGAAGGCCTCTTGTCAAAATGCTGTAGGTTCAGATTGATCCGGGTTTAAATTCCGGTTTCCTTACCTTCAAGCCACGGTTCAAGGAGCTTGAGTCTCCAGCTAGTGCGCTAGCTTCCTTTCATCTACTTTTGTAGTTTGTGTAACAAATGGGGGTCAGGGACTCGAAAGGGCATAAAAGCAGGGGTCAAAAGTATGGCATATTGGCTGTATTTGTGCATCTTCCTTCCAAGATTTCAGATGCAGTCAGAAGGGAAGACGTTTGACCTATGATATTAACCTGCTAGAGATCAAAGGACAGCTTTTGGGGAGGTTGGTTGCTCTCCCTGTCTGCCTAGCATTAAAGCAAAATTTTGCTGCAGTTGATTCTTCACCCTGGAGATTAGTGGATTAAATATTCTTTCTTTTTCCTTGCTCCTCAAAAATATTTAGTGTCAAGTAGGGTAATACAGCGGGAAGTAAAACAGCGTATATCTGAGTAACTTGTTTATCAGTATGCTTTAAAGTAATTTTTGCAATGGAATAAATTTAAGGTTCTGTAATTAAGTGCATCATCTCAATTTCCCCGTGTGTGTTTGGTTATAAGCTCATTTGGGCATAAGATTGTCTTCCTGGATGTTTTGGTTTAGAATAACTTGGAAGGGTTAAGTCATATTGCCATAATTTGTGCCAAGTAATAATAAATCGTGAGGTTTTGATTATATAATTTTAATTGTCAATATGCAAGGTTACAGAGTGGAGTAAATGTACAGTTTGCTTAGAAGTCCAAGTTAAGGGCTCGGGGAGCATAAACGCATAGAGTAAATTTCTCTTCAGGTCCGGGTGATGGTCTTGAGACCAAAAGTGAAAGAGGTCAGTGAGAAAATATGAAATGCCCCTCAGCCTGTGTGGCTGCGTTATGGATAAATAAGAATCTTTATTCTCTTCCTAATTCTCTAAAATAATGTGATGTGACCTGAATATTAAGTTCCTGTTCTCCAGTTCCCTCTCTGTAAATAATACCAAATGCATTAATATTTACCAAACACCCCTCCCCCCCCCCAAAAAAAAAAACAGAAAGAAAAGACTGCAGGAGAAAGGGTTGCCTGTAACCAGTTGAAGAGCTGTCTGCATTTTTTATGGTAGTTTTATACTTTCTGTTCCCAGCTCTGTCACTGTGGTACCTTGCACAACTTAACCTCTCTTTGGATCAGTTTTCTTCATCCCTTGGCTGGGGTAATACTTGCTGACTTCACAGGAGCTATTGCTGAATTGGTTGCATGGTGATCTCAGATTCTTGCATGAAAAATGTGATAAAAATGCAAGGTGATGGTACTTTCTAATCAATAGATTCTGTACTATTGAGCTGATGGTTAAAGAAGTTAAGGCTAGGACCTAAGTCAAGTTTTCAAACAGTTGATAGAAAATGCTGAACCTCAGCATTTTCTAAGTTTTCTCTCTGTGGTGCTGTGCTTGATTTGGTTTTCTCTTTATTCTCTGAAGGTGCACCTGTATCCATTTATAATACCCAGGAATAGTGATGTAGCAGTAGCAAAATAAAGGAAATAAATAAAATAGTGTGCGAGAAACTATTATACTGTTACTAGTAGGATCTGTACTGCAGGATCTTCAGAACAAATGTTTTCATGCCATTAAAAAATAATTAGTAAATGTGTCAGAGCACATCTGAATGTTCCTGAAACATGTTTCTCATGGCGGTCGCCAGTAACGTGACGAGGAAGTGCTCTGCTGAGAAGGAAAAACAGGGACGAGTAACTGCTCCCACCGAGGAGGCTGGGTAGCCCTTTCAGCTCTACCGCATTTCATACTGTAAAATCAATCATCACTCTGAAGGGCAGGGCTGTTTCTCTTTAAAAGCTGGACCAACTCTGTCTTCAGTGATAATATAACAACATCTGGAGCTCACAAGATACCTGCCAGGGGTAGCTGCAGGCCTGTCAAATTCTCACAGGCGTGACTTTCTAGGTTAAGGACCAGAGACCTCTGATCTTCAATCCAACCCTGTCAAACAAAGCTAAATTTGTCCTGACTTTTTGTTTGCAAACGTTGGCTGTGTCAGCAAGCCTTTTCTCTCTCCTTCTTATTAGGCAGGATACCCGAGTGTGTATAATTTGATGGGGAACAGCTCCCGGAGGGCCCATTACTGGTAAAGTGTACAGTCATTTTCGAAGTTCCCTGGAGACTCCTTGAATCTGGTCCTGGGGTGAATGAGCTTTATAGGCATTGAATCCACCAGCAGGGTTAGATTCAGAGAATGGAGCTGGGAAATAAGAGAGGGAAGGCTGAAAGGGCAAAAGCACAAGGAGCAAAGAAAAGGTTTTTCAGACTTCCATGTTGGTCTGACATTTAAACTCCACAGGAGCGGCAACTGTTTTGATCTTAAACCTCCTTATTTTAACACCTTGCATCTCTTGATCCACTAGCGCAAGAGGAGGAACAAAAACAGGGAATAAGGAAATATTTTGGGGCTTAAATCTTGGTGGGAGGAAGTACATGAGGGCTGCATAATTCCAGATCATTGTGCAGAGGATTAAAAAAATATGTATTGTAGAGAATGGAGCAATATTCGTAACTTTGCATTCAAAAAAGAGGCAAAAATATAGAATGGTGGAACTGCTATGAGTGGATCAAAATGGGAGATGGTATCAAACGTTAACTGTTTCATTTATCAAGCTGCTCAGTTAAGAGCAGCATAGCTGGTTTTGCTGTGTAATGTGATCGGTTTGGCTGTTTAAGGCATATGCATAGGATTTAACCCCATATATTTCATTCTGATCTCGGAGACCCATTCTTATTTTCACCTAAATGGTCTACCAATTTTAGCGCACCACAAACTGTTTTTGTTTTGGCTTGATATGCTTCTTCCCAAGGCGGGTTTTAACCTAAATTTTGAAAGCTCTTTGTGCCTATCCGGCTGTTTGAGAGCTGTGTGATCCCAAAGTGATGGAACTCGGGCGCACAATTTTCGCCACCACAAGGGCACATAAGTATTGTAATGTATGAAGATGTATTCTTGTCAATAATCTCAGAATAAAATCACATGCAGGATGAATGCATGCATGAGACAAATATTGGGCTATTGGTGATGTCTGTTCAAGGAGAGGAGATGGACTGTTCCAGGGTCACCTGCATGATCAGTACTTGGCTCTGTTCACAGACCTGCTTAGGCGAAATAAAACCTCTATGACCCAGTCCAAATAACCAGAACAAGCGAAATAAAAACTTAAACACCTTGCGAGCTCTAAAAACAAGTGATAAATCCTACGCTTCAGAAAAGCCTGGTAGTGCTTTACTGAATTGGGAGTGGGGAAGGATGTGTAAAGGATTTGTGTAGAGTTCCTCAGTGCCTGTTCGTAGAGGCACCATCTATCATCCTTCCAAGTGCCTCTCGGGCACCGGGTTCTGTGCACCAGATTCCCTCCAGAGAGACTCAAACATGGTCCTGGAGAGAAGATTGAGTAATGGGAATCCTTGGAAATGAACAAAGGCACTTGTGCGGTTTTCCGCACTATAAAGGTCTAAACACTAATGAAATAACTTCCTTTTTTCTTTTTTTCTTTTAGTGCTATGATCATCCTCCAGAACTCATTGTTACAGGCTACTGTTAAGGCCATGAACTTAGCAGGGTTTAAAAAAAAAATTAAAAAACTTTCAGGGGATTTAGAGAATCCCTTTATATTAGATGGAGTTGTCAGTGCCATACTTGAGGGAATAAACCAATAAGTAAGCGGCAAGGAAAGTTATGACTCTTAAAGGAAGTTTTGCACCTACTTTTGAAAAGCATATTTACTGGCAGTGAGATAAAATACTAGAAAAGAGAGACAGCTTCTATAATTTAGTCGTGTGATGTTTGTATTTTTATGTTTTAGCTTTTATGCCAGGTATAGTTTCATACATCTATGGAACGTATCTAGTCTATGGTGGAGCAAAGCTATGCCATAGGTCTTTGCTCTTGTGTTTCTCATTCCAGTTAGAGGAAGCACTTGTTCAGCTTTCTGAACCTGTGAATTGTAGGATGCCTTTTTTTTTTTTTCTTCTTCTCCTTTTCTCCAGTGAATTCTCAGCTTTGGGAATGCTATATGACAAGTGTAGTCAAGGCCCAATAATGCCATTTTTTGGATGTGTCACTGTCGTGGTTTAACCCCAGCTGGCAACTAAGCCCTATTCAGCTGCTCGCTCACTCTCCCCTGGTGGGATGGGGGAGAGAATCAGAAGAGTGAAAGTGAGAAAACTCGTGGGTTGAGATAAAGACAGTTTAATAGGTAAAGCAAAAGCTGCACACACAAGCAAAGCAAAACAAGGAATTCATTCCCTACTTCCCATCGGCAGGCAGGTGTTCAGCCATCTTCAGGAAAGCAGGGCTCCATCACGCGTAAAGGTTACTTGGGAAGACAAACGCCATCACTCCGAACGTCCCCCCCTTCCTTCTTCTTCCCCCGGCTTTATATGCTGAGCATGACGTCATACGGTATGGAATATGCCTTGGGTCAGTTGGGTTAGCTGTCCTGGCTGTGTCCCCTCCCAACTCCTTGTGCATCTGGCAGAGCATGGGAAGCTGAAAAGTCCTTGACGAGTGTCAACACTACTTAGCAACAACTAAAACATCAGTGTGTTATCAACATTATTCTCATACTAAACCCAAAACACAGCACTATACCAGCTACTGTGAAGAAAATTAACTCTATCCCAGCCGAAACCAGGACAGTCACCTTTGGAAAGCACATTTCAGCAGTACTATCAAGTGAGTAAAGAAATGCTGTAGAAATGACTGGTGTTGGCTCGGTTGAGACAAATAACAGGGATTTTATTTTCTGCTCATCACTGGGTGTTGGTCTCATGAGCTATTTATAACCTGACTGAGCAGGCAAGCTGAGCAGTCGGCTGCGAGAGGGAAGTCAGGAGCCCACATCTTCCCACCCTGCCCCAGAGCAGAGCAGCGGCGTGGGCGCAGCAGGTAGTTTCTCGCAGCGGGCCGGTACCCAGACAGCCCTCCTCGCTTGCTGGGGCCTGGTTGTTCACCAAGAGTGACAAGTACGTAGGATTTAATTTGCACAAAGTCGCAATCAAGATTAGGTTTGATCCAGTATCAGTCTGTTTTGTATTCCTGAGGTATACAGCGCCCTAGACAAGGGAGCAGAGATGCATTTAAGAAGTACATGGTTATAGTCAACTTTAATTTGGAAGCGAAAAGAAAAAAAAAAATAATCTCAGGCGATATACTTAAGTATTAACAAGAAGAGAAGTTTTCTTGTCCAAATTGAGTCTCTTTGCCAGAATTTTTTTTTTCCATGTAACTGAACTCTCTTTTGCTCTGCTCAAAATGCTTAGTTAAACAATAGCTATTTTATTTAGCAAAATTGTGCTTCAGGAGATTGCCTTGTCTTGCCTTTTTTTCGGACAAAAATTCCAAGTGCTTTTCAATATATGAATTGTGAAATATTGAGCTTTTCTGCAAGATCTCTTGAAAATCTATTTCAAGGTCCAGAGCAACAGCTATCCCAATCAATGTGTGCTCTTCTGAATATGTTCCCGTATAAAAAGAGGTAGAGAAATTAGAAAGTGACCAATAAATTAGATAGCAGTAGGTAAGGTAGAGCAATAAAAGTGAAGTTAATAAAATAAAACCCTGAAATGTACAAAATGTCATCCTACACACAGAATAAATTAGTTTGTGATTCCAACTTGGCTGGAAGAAAAAGTGTGTCCCTTAAGTGAGCTGGCGCATATGCAGTTTGTTTTGCTTTGCTTTGGTGCGAAATCGTATTGCCATTAGTAAAGCTGGGTATTGATCTTTTTTTTTTCCTCCTCTTTTTTTTTTTCCTTTTTTTTTTTCTTTTTTTTTTTCCCCCTCTCTTTTTTTAATCTTGGGCAGTTTGTGCTTTCTCTCATCATCTCTGTTGTCTTGGGGGGGTTTAATTCTTCCTTCACTCCCATGCACTGGCCAGTTTATCATTTGCCCAGCTCTTTTCTTTTTGACATGATGTTCTTTGCTGGGTTGGGGGGGGTGGGTCATCCCCTACTCCTCTTCCTCAGATTTGACACCCACTTTCATCTTTTTTAGAAGCACTTTATCAGCATTTGCTTATGGTAGAAATCGCCTCCTTTTTGTTCAGAAAACGTTATTAGTGTTGTAGCAATGCTGGGATGGCTTTTATCTCCCTGTGGAATCTCATTAGCTTTACATTACAATAGGAACAGCATATGTGCAACTTTGCCAAAGTGGCCAGTCAATTTAAATTTGTTAATGGCAGTATTTTTTTAAGCAACTTTCTTCAGTGCCAAGAGAAAACAACTTTGTTGTTCAAGGAAAAAAAATACAGTTTGTTAGAAGTAGAAACATAGCAGAAGGAGAGCGGCTGCTCATAAATATCTTCAGAACTTCCTATTCTTTGACATGTTTGGTATTATCCTACAAAAGCATCATCTTAAAAGAAAAAAATTCACATAGCTACTAGGGCTTGGATTACAGTCATTTCTAAAAGTTACATGAGATGTGTTTAAAAGAAATGACGGATTTGAGTTATGCAGTGCTGTAATGCACTGTTAATCACATTATTTCTAATTTTTTTTTTAATATGTTAACATATAAATGGCTTAAGCAGGTTGAGGTCCATTTTGTGAGTATTTTTGCAAACTCACCAGAATGTGCACAGTCCCAAAAGTTTTTCCTTCCAAATGTCAGGATCTCATGTCCATATTCACACTGAATGGAGCCGCTTTTGGAGTCAAGCGTGTGCACAAATGATGAGGAGCAGAATCTGTTTCTAAAATTGTAGTATAACTTAAAACTGGATTCCGTGTAGGACGGACTGATTTGATGTAGTGTTCTGCGGAGGAATTTTGTATGGTGTGAATTACAGCCTGCCTATACATGGATTTATTCAGGAATACATCTACAGATTCACCTCCCTGAATAGCTTCAGGCACGAGCCTCTCTTTCTCTAGTGAAAGTTTTGAGTGCTTCAGCACCATTCACATTGTAGAATTACACTAAATACAAATCAGGAACAAGTGGAGTTTGCTGGGAATAGCAATTGTAATTTCAGTTCACACTTTATCTTACTCAAAATTTACTACAGTATACAGACAAGCCCTGGGAAATATGGAGACAAGCCCTGAGAAGAGCACTACTTCTCCATGTTAAAACTAGAAAATACGATTTAATCACTAACTAGACAGTCACATAGTTTGTTGGATGCTTTGATATTACTGATGAGGACCGTTAACAGATTTACAAGTTACAAGATGTGAAAGACCTCTCATGGCTGTGTTGTCTTGAGTTCTTTAATAGTCTAGCCCGAAGAATTTTGCCAGTAATTTCTGCATTAAGCCTAGAACTTCTGAGAAGCAGACTGTGCTAATAACTTAGGAAGCTGCCAGGCTGCATACTGTTAGTGAATTGTATCATAGCTGTCAGAAAGTGCCCCCTTCCAGAATAATTTAAAAAATGGTTGTGATTTTAAAAAAAAAAAAAAAAAATCCATCAAAGCATTGGTTGGTTTTCCTGATTTATTTCTTTAATTATTCTTGTTATTATAAATATACATTTTATATGTATTCTGTCTAGCTGTAATTCCCAGATGTAAGATATTTTTATGGCTCTGTCTGGGAAATTAAAAAGCTTTCTATCAGAAATCTTTTACTAATGCAAGTATTTATAAACCATAATCATATTAATTGATTCCTGGTTTCAGAGGAAATGAAACTGAGAGCTCGATTCCTGTTTGTTCAACATAAGCAACCTGAAATAGGACCACAAGAGTTAAACATTTCAAGTTTTCCCATTAAAAAATGGAGAGAAGCATACTCATTTTTCCGTTAAAATGTATTTTCAAATCACAGTATTTTATCCTGGTGTTTTGTTTTGTTTTGTTTTTTAATAAAACAGACCAAAACCGAAGCTTTGGCTTTTTTGGAAGTCATAACCTCTATTCTAATCAGCTAGTCTTCCAGAAGTATTTAATTTAGCTACATCATTGACAATGATTTTTCTTTTGTTGAGCAAATCAGCATAGGTTAAGAGAATATATTGTCTCTAAAAAATGACCAAAGCAAAAAATGGGAACATAGAACAAGAAAACCAAAGCGCTTTCCTCTGACATGATCTGTTAAGTGACTTTGCTTGTTAATGATTCACAGAATAATGGGTTTTCAATCACAGAAGCACAGATTCTGCTCTTATGCTGTAGATATTTGTTATGGATGCTTCTGTTTTATATGGTACAGAAGATTTTTTTTTTTTTTCCTTTTTACAGCTGGGTTGGTAGTCCAAAATGGGAAGCAAAGCATGTTAGTTTAGTATTGTTCCATTTGGCATAGAGCTGGACGCCTTCCTCTTCACTTGGCTCACATTAGCCACCAGTCTAGATTCTTTTACCAGAACTATTAGCTTTTATCATGTTTTTCAACTTCCAAAGGTATGTTTGATTTTACTGTATGCATATGAAGTTATTTGTCATGATTGCTTCAGCTGATTCTTGTATGAAGTTGGCAGAGGGAATGGAAGCTAGCTGGCAAAAGCTACCCAAAATTACTTTGAGAATGTCTTCACAGTCATTTAATCCATGGCTTGCTACTTCCCCATGGAATTTATACTGTTTTCCTGCAGATTAACACTGCTTGGTCTGAAATACAGAATGAATAAGCGTATATTCTCCTTTTGTCTGATACAGGTGACAGATCATGCGACCACTGCTCTATTGCACTACCAGCTGCCTCAAATGCCAGATGTGGTAGTCAGATCTTTCATGGTAAGTGTATTGGAAAATACATTTTTTTCCAGATAGACTTCAGCATGCTTACAGCGATTGACGTTAGGCAGTTCTGATGCAGTTGTAGTTTCCCCCTATTTAAACAAGCTAGACAGTAGAGAATGACTGTAATTCTTTGTATCTGATAGCTGGAGAAGGATGAAGAGCTCATTCTCATTACCCTGGGATAATTGGTGTTGGAAGACTGAGCTGCATATGGTTCTTCTGTCACTGGTCTCAATACTTGCTTGATGATTCCTATTTGCAAAGCTACTCTGGGTCATCTCTAAAGACAGCAGGAAAAACTCTCAACCATAATCTTTGCTATGGTCCAGCCCTTTCACACTGTTCATACTGTGCAAGGAGTTGAGTTCTGTATGTAGAAAGTCTGCTCCACGGGAAGTTCCCCAGTAAGAGGAAACACCCAGGTAGTGTGTTCCAGCTGAGGCAGCTTGCTTGTCAGCTTTCCCAGTATGGGAAGTGATGAGAGGGAGGAATGTGATCGGGAAGAGTCCCTTTTGCTGTATCCACTTTCAGCCCCAACTTTCTTCCTAAGGAATTGCATGTACTCGCCCAGCACAACAGCAGGTGGTTTTGGGAATTGAGGAAATGCTTACTGAAGTATTCTGCTGTTTTCTTACTGAATAAAATTAATCCAATACTGCTGTACCTTGATAATGCAGATTTAAGTTTATCACCTTTAATTCTGCTTGTATTTAGAATTTCTTTGGGAAATAAACTTGTATATGAACACCCTATTAATCAGAGGACGAGCACAAGGGTTTATGATTCAGAATTCCTTCTACCAAGATGAATTTTGGCAGTGGAGACTCTTGCTGTTCTCTCTGCTGCAGCCTCCCAAAGGAGGCTTTTGGGAGAGTTTTCTCTGCTCTTCAGACTTTTTCCTTCACTTAACTTCCATTATGTTACCCCTTCACCTGGAGCAATGTAACCGAGACTTTTAAAAACAAACATCTAATTTTGCCATTCACAATCTTTAGGTGTGTACAGTAGCATTGGGTCTTTTATGTCTTTAGTTTCCACTGTGTAATTTCAGATCAGTCAGACTCCCTTACCTGCTGTGCCGGTTTGTTTATTTCATAAAAAGGCCACTAAGGTGAGAGATTTGCAAAGGTCTCTTCTCTTGGAGTGCATCTTAAAATAATAGGTTTTGGAAGGTGAAAGCAACTCTTACTGGTCCAATCCATGTTTCAACATGTTTCTGAAAATTAATGTTTAATAGAATGGGTAGCACGTTTGTTTAAGCCATGGACCTGCCTTATTGATTTGATAAAACACTACTAAAACTTTTAACAAAGCAAAACCAGATGTACACCAGAAGTGTCAATATATTGGTCCTTTCAAATGTCAGTTGTGCAAGCCACATGACAGGATGTAGTGAAGCCCTAATTTTCTGATGGGAATGAAGAATGCATTTTTTTTTTTCTTTCAACAGATGTCTCAAGTGCACAATTTAACTTCATTTACCTATTTTTGTATTATGGTTCAGAAAATTCAATTTCTCTGTAATGCAAGCAAAGCCCATCCAAGCTGAAGTAAATAACAGCAATTTACTTGTAGTGTTCTGTTGCCCTTGTCCCCATATTTACTGCTAAACCCAGAGAAGATCTAGTTCTTTTGGAGAAGAGTTATTGACGGCCAAAGGTTCGGTTGCTATAGAGAAGGCTCTGATGAAGATGGAAGGATTTGTTTCAATAAACTCGGCTGACCTCTTCTTCAGAGAACAATTTTCTCTTATCGATGTAATTCAATAGGACTTTAAATGACAAGATTCATGTGCATCCTTCACAGTATAAATCTGCTGGTCTAGGTGTTTTTTAGTGTACCTCCTTGAGTTGGGAATTGAGTTATGTAATGCTCATTGCTATGTATGACGATGGGAACAATCCACTTTAGAGGCAGGAACTTTACCTAGGAACACCTGAACTTACTCTGTGTTGTTCAGCACTAGCCTTTTATATATATATATTTATCAGTGTAATCAAATTAAAAACGGTACAGTATTTTTATGACCAATGAGTATTGATCTTAAAATTGCATTAGAGAGGAAGTTAGTTAGCTTGCTGTGGAAGTCCTTATATCTTCAGCTATGAAGAGTTCAGACCGTTGCAGTATGATTGCAGCAGGGCTGTGATAGATGATCATAGGAAGAGACAAACCAATATTCGGTTGAAGAAGGTACCCATCAAGAACAATTATATTCCAGTAAAAATATGAGGAACGTTACAATACTTGCCTTCAATCATGATTCTCTAGCTGCGAATACCTCCTGCTCAGAGTGCTTGAATTTCTATTAACAAATTTGCTTAAGTGACTAAAAAAGCAAAAGATGATTAATAAAGTGGGAATTCAGCTATACAGTGACCTTGTAATCCTCGGCATGTTTCTGTTTGTAAAATCGCTGTATACCTCACTGGGGCCTTGCCAAAGTACATTCTCTGTCCTTGCTATCACTGTTTGACAAGAATGATGACAAAGGGGAACATCCATATCCAGTTTTCTTAATTTCTCTCCCTATTCCTTTTAGACCTGGTTAAGAAGTTACATAAAGCTGTTCCAGGCTCCATGCCAGCGCTGCGGAAAGTTTCTGCAGGATGGCCTGCCACCCACATGGAGGGATTTCCGAACACTTGAAGCTTTTCATGACACTTGCAGGCAATAGTAGCCCAGCCCAGCCATTGGTACGCGAGGAGCGAACAATCTGTCAGGTTCGGAAGAGAGCTGATGGTTTAATAGGTGGTTCCATTTCTGAACCTTTCATCCTGTACTAAGTAGTGAGGTTGCACTAATACATTTGACTATTTAAAAGCCATCAGTTTGCAAGGTACATGTGAGACTAATGTATTTTGAAGAAGACGGTAAGAAGCTGTGTGTGATCGCTTGATGCTTCTGAGCTGAAATTATATGTCTGGGGAGATCTGACAGTAACAGTCATTATTCTAAACCTTAATGAAAATATCTGTGTACATTTTGCGTTTTGTGACAGAATTTGCAATGTTGAAGACTTTTATAAGCTTGAAATAAATTTTATATTCCAGAATTTGTGCTATTTATTTCATTATTTGATCAACAAAATCCTTGGGTTTGGTGTGGATTTTTCAGCACTGCTCTTTTCTTTACTGGAAACATTTAAACACGCATGCTGATATGATGGGTGGGTTTGTTGTTGCAAGGCTGCTTATCTGAGTGCTGGTCTTTTTCTGGAAGAGACTATGGCGTTGATTAAACATGGAACTTCGAAGGCATGTGGCAGCTTGGAAGATGCAATATACTTTTTAGGACGGGGGGAAACAGATGTTTCCCTTTACTAAAATTTTGATGAAAAATGTTAGCAAAATCTGCATGTATTAAGTGGTTAGAAAACGTGTGATAAGCAGCGACAGTGTGTATAATTCGTCATGTTTTAGGACTGAAAGTAGTAAAGTAATTCAGCCTTGAAGCACAGCTTCTGCAGCACAGACACATACAGCATGTTTCCTAAATGATTTAAAATTTACGTGCAACACGCCAGGGAAGAGTTAGATCCCTCCCAGTAATGGTTGCACTTGGAATGGATGGGAGTGTTCAGCTCCTACGAGCCCCAGCCATTTTTCCTTCACCCAAAGACTGGGAAGGTCCCTGGTCCTGTCCCGGCTGAATGCTCGCTGGCCTGGGGCTGTGGCGGGTCAAGTGTCTTCCCTGGTATTTTCTTGAGGACGGTACGTTTCATCTGTCATCTCCTGATAGCCGATTTGATTAATTCAACTGTCATTCCCACTAGTGCACCCTTGTTTCCTTTACAAGCCACAAAGGCTTCGGTGATAAGCTTGCTTTTGGGAGCTGGTAGGGGAGTCTGGAGAAGCTTTGTCACTCAGTTAATTTTCAGATAAATTGACGTTAAGGTGTAGCGCTGCAGACTAATCTTTGAGGTTCTTTCTGCCTGTGTGAAAAGCTTCTGTTGCAGAAGGAAAAGATGCCCTTCTCAGAGGCTTTGGTGGTGGCAAGGTTTGGTTTGGTTTTCAGCAAGGAATGTGGAGTGAACTTAATCACATTTAATAAAAAGAAGGGGGCAGGGAGGAAAAAAAACAGGGCAGGAAGGGGAGGGACTCTTTTTTTTGCAGCTGATTGAAATAAGGTGTTCAGAGATATTTAAAGCACGTGTTTTAATTTAATTTGAACCTACAGCGTTTATGAAACAGCCCGTTTCATAGCTGTGGAAACTGAAAAATGAAGAAACTTGAGTATCGCTCTGTACTTGCGTGCGTGATACTAAATTAACTGTGTTAGCTGGTAACATAAAAGGCTGAGCTCCCAAAGACAACAGCTCCTTCCTGCGAGGACGGCGTGTGATGTGGGAATTTCAGCTTTCTAGGTACAGAAATCCGTGCAAGACTGACTCGTAGAAAAGAGAGAAACTTGAAAGAAACTACATGTTTATGACTTCCTTTGGAGGCACAACATTGTGTATGAAGAATGAGCATATATTGGTTTGAGGATGTTGGTAAGTGAGATTTTCTATTTTTCAACTTTTTTCTTTTTTTTTTTTCCCCTCCCAATCGCCAAACAGAAACATGGCCATAGCAGTGGGATAATGGCCATTTCAAATCCAGCTGCAGTTGAATTACCTAATGAAAAGTTGTCATGCTATTATTTGACCCAAGTAGCCTTCTCGGTACAAAGATCACCCAAGACAGAATGATGTGTGCATCTTGAGAGAGCGCCTTGGAAATAAGCGGCCCTGCTATCCGTCCCGTTACTGTACTAATTAGAAGGCTTGGGTTTCTGATAGTGTAAGCATTTTTTTGTTGTTGTTAATAAAAAAGGTCATAATGTGGTATCCAACCTGCTTCAGGTGCCGCTGTCGGCTCCATTCTGTTTATACTTAAATAATGGTGTAGAAAGCAAATCCTGAAGTTCACAAAAGTAGTATATGTGGAATCATGGACTTGGAGATAATTAGTTGCAGGAAACAGCATCAGCCAGTCTGTGTGTTAATTGAGCCTGAAATTTTAAACCTGTAATTGGAGAGTCTGATAGTCATAAAATTCACTGTAGGTACCTCAGTACAAAAATAATTGTCTTACAGAAGTGCAACGCAAACCTGTTTGTCGCATTCCTTCCCCCAGAAAACTGCAGGAGGAGGGAATCTTCTCCCCTCGTAGAGGCCCTGGCAGAGACAGTGATTTCTATCCCTGCAAGCCTTTGAGTGCAACAGGTTGGAATATTTCCATCTTGGGGAATGCAATTCAGCTGTCTGAATTGTTCTAAAGCTCACGAGTTTCAGCAGTTTGGATGCAGTGTGTGCTTGTCTCTGCTGATTGTCCTGGAGGTGTGAATGCGGGTGGCCAGTGCCTGGTCATCACTGGGGTGTGGATTTCCAAGCCAAGCAGAAGCTCGCTCCAAGTTTGGAATGTGAGGAATATAAACTGGGGGATCGCTTTTAACTAAAAAGCCATTCTCACAATACAGCATTTTGGTGTTCATCCTCAGCTTTGTAGCTTGGTTACTGGACGACATTTTTTTTCTTTCCTACCCTTAGTTAAAAGGAGTGGGTGATGAAAAGCAGTTTAATTGCAGGATGAGCGACCTTGCTTTTTTTTTAATCATTGGAGTTTGTTGCAGCTTTTAAAACAGCTCAAATCTTTAAGGCAAACAGCAAGGACCACGATCCCTGAAGAGTGGTTGGCTCTCACCTCTTCTAGAGCATCTTCTAGAACTGCATTGCTCCCGATACTTATTTCTGCAAGGCAAGCGCCACTGCAGAATCAGTAGCAGCCAAATTTAACAGAGAGAGAGTGTAAAGGAAACTAATCTCCATGCAGAGACAGTGCTGCTTTTACTGGCTCAGGCTGTATGTGTTACAGAGCTGCATCGTTCCAGCACTGTTTATAGCGCAATGATACATTAATCTCACCTAATCCTGCAGGAACAGTGCCTTGCCTCACCCTGGTTACTATCATCTTGGGATCCCTTACCCTAATCAGAACACGCGGTCTTCTATTGCATCCCTGATGTGAAGAAATCCCATTTTATTTTCCCATGTGCAAACCCCACCTACTGTGCTTGTGGCGCTTGCAAGTGCTAAAGGTTACAAAATCCATCTTTTTGCTAAGAAGGCAACTTAATTACTGTGAAAGTTTCTCTGGTGAAGGGAACCCGCAGCAGATATGCAGTGCGTATTGCAGCCGGGTCCCCTCTTCCCTCCCAGCACCCCTCCCCAAACCACTTTAATTTCTCTGCCAATATTGGACAAATGTAACAGGCTGACTTTTTAATTTTCTACTCCCAGGTCTCCCTTGTCCCCTCATGCATTTTTCATCACAGCTCATGGCTCCCTCCCTGCCTGCCCTGTGAACAATATTGATCGACTGATTAAGCCATCAAGCCATGGCAAACAACTTTAATTTTCTAACCAAAGCCTTTTAGTTCTCTTCCCTTTCTTGTGTATTTGTTACCTTCTTAGGAAGTTTTTAATGTCTACTTGGAAACAAATACATTCTTTTAATTAGTCCCTAGGTTAATTGGGAGCTACGCACCACCGAGAGCAATCCACATCAAGATATTAACCCATAAAATGTAAAAAAGAGAGAGCAGGAAGTGCTAGGTACGGTCCCCTGTTCCAAACCCAGAATCATTCCTGCCCAAGCTTTTGGAGAAGGGCTTAAAGAAGACTTAGGGTGCTTGCCTTTTCTCTTTGGTCTCTCCCAATAGCCTTAAATTCTAAACTAAATAGCCTAGGTCATACCTACAGCACTTGGCTCTGGGTACCAGGCTGTGCTTCTGCAAGTTCTTGGACCACAAATTAACGTTCTCAGCTAAACCCACCGAAGGCTCATCAGGTTTCATACAGACTGCTGCCTGCACGCTCTGAAAACCGTAAGAGTTTCTGCAAGTATACGTGTGACCTGGTTTGTCTTGTAGAACATTTTTAAGCGATGATGATGATGAAGTGAAAGGAGATTCATCTGACCTGAATCCCAGGGCTGGCAGGTGGGTAAAAGCATCTTTCTTGCAAACTCGGTACATGTGGTTTCAGTGAGGCTTGTCAGAATCGCTCTGTGGGTTTGCAAATTGCTTTTCAAGGTAAAAATGCAGCTTAAATATCAGGGTATTGTCTCTCGCTGGAAGCCTTAGAGCTCTGCATTGTGCGGTGGTGCTGCAGTCCTGTCTTAGGTACTGGTCCTTTAGGTAGCACTGAGCTGTGAGAGCACAAGCGGTGACCTGTAGCGTGTGTCGAGGATCCTCATTTCGAGCATTGGCTCGACTGCTTGTTCTAATGTCTCCAGATCTGTGAATTACGAAGACGAGCAAAACCTTCCAAAGGAACCGGGCCAGTGTCGATGGAGGGTTTGCACAAAGGTGGTGTCAGGACCAGGCAGCTTTACACCCCTGTCACTGCCCTGTGACTAGTCTTTCTACTAGTATTTAGCTGGGAATCGGTTTCTCCTTGCTCCAAAAGACGCAAGGAGCCGAGCCCCCGGAGGTGGGGGATGCGGCTCCACGTGCTCACAGCGCAGTGGTTAAGCGGGAGGCTCGGCCGTCTGATTCAGCGGCTGTGACCCACCGCCGCGTGGAAACCTGAAACGTTTCTATTGCCGTCCGCACCTCTGCCTATGTGACCTCAGTACAGATTCATGCTATGGATTTAGTTCAACTACATACAATAGGGTGACAGATCAACCT